CTTTCTCTATCTCTCTCTCTCTCTCTCTCTCATAGATTTTGATACGAATTATAAATTGCAACAAATTTTAATACATGAATACGAGCTGTGTTTGTATGCAATGAATGAATCGTTTATTTTTTGATTACAAACGAAACGATGAAACGAAAAAATATTTGATTAACAAATCTATGAATATATTAGTAAATTATATATTAAGTACATATAGAATATGATATAAACAGTACATTATTATGTGAAACAATTTATTATTGATAACTACTAGTCCCCTGAAATAGTTTCTCTATTCTTATAATTAATTAATTGTAAAATTATTCCATTTTTTAAATTGATTTTTGTATTTTTAAATTACATTTTTCATATCAATTGTATTATTATCAGCGAAAAACGATATTTAATGAAATAAACGGAATTCCAAATAAATTCTTATATTTAATCCTATTATTTAATTGCTATTTACAATATGCCTATATTTGCTTGAAAAATTATACATTAGTTAATTGAAAAGTAAGTGAAAAGTAGACAATTAATTAAATTAAAGTTTGTAGCAATTTATTGATGATTTATTATTAGCTATACTGTACATACTGTACTGTACAGGTTTATGTTAGAATTGCTAAACTATTTCAAATGTTGCAAATGACATTGAAAAATAAATAATAATTTTTAAAATTTTTATCAAGAACATTTAAATTCAATATTTTACTCGTCTAATTTTGTAATGTTCTTGAAATGAACTAAACATTTGTATAATTAATTACGAATTAGCAAGGTACAATAGTTTTATACCAATGTTAGTTTTATTTATTAATAAATGCTTATAAATTAATTTAATTAATTACATTTGAGAACTTTACAAAGTAATTACTCTTAATTTAAATGTATTATTTCTAATAGCTTTATGAAAGTATAAAAGGAACTGGGTTAACAGTAAAAATTACAAATATATTGAACAATTAAAAATATAAATATTCTGAAATTAAAAGATTTTGTTTTCTATTAGTTTTATACTGAAAGCAAAATGAAATTCTTATTATTTGTTTCAATGCTTTTGGCACTAAATTCATTGATTTGTTGCGATTTGCCAATTGACGACTATTTGAAAGTCAGAGACTCGAGAAATTTTACGGGAAAAGTGGTTTTGGTGACCGGATCCAGTGCAGGGATAGGCGCCGGTATTGCAAAGCTATTCTCAATACTGGGTGCCAATGTTGTGGTCACCGGAAGGAATGTCTCACGAATTCAAAGTGTGGGCAAAGAAGTGCAGGAATTGTCACCAAAAAAGCTGAAGGTTTTCATTGAATTAATAATAATTTCTTATGTATTTTCAAATGTAATTTACATTGAATTCATAGCCACTGGAAATTGCAGCAGATTTGCTGAAACCCACTCAACTCAATAGACTCGCCAAACAAACCATTGAGACATTTGGCAAATTAGATGTGTTGGTGAATAACGCCGGCATATATCCGGCCGACAACATCACCGATACATTCCTGTTGAGTGAATGGGAGGACATCTTTGATACTAATCTTAAGGCCTCCGTACGACTGGTCCAACAATTACTGCCAGAACTGCGCAAAACTAATGGCACTGTTATAGACATCTCTAGTGTTGCAGGACTTCAACCGGTATTATAACACAAATGATAAACAATTTATAAATTATGTATTCATTATCACAATACGACTGACAGACTGCCCCTCAGTTGGCGTACAGCACATCCAAAGCGGCCGTACATATGATGACTAGAGATCTGGCCCTCGAGTTGGGACCCATTGGGATC